GGGCGAATGGAAAGCCCCACCGATTCCGTGGTCGTATTAAAACTTTTCGTTCGCACCTATCTCTGCCAGATGTCTGTCTACTCCCTACTTTAAACTCGATCGCGATACGCTATTGAATTTTCTTAGAGAACCATATTCGAGAACGATATTACGCGCTTCCATTATCGAGACGATGATTTCAATAAAGGAAACGGAGAGATAAGGGACCGTTGTAAAATTCCATAACGCGAGTCGATGCGATAATTAGAGGTAGATAACGCGCAACAATACGATAGAAATAAACTAAGAAATTGTTTTGTTAGATTCAAAACGAAATAATAATAATAATAATAATAATAAAAAATAGGATACAGGGATTGTAAAAAAATTCACTCGTCGTTCGTCATTTTCTCATTCGTGTGATCAATCGTGAAACTCGGCCAATTACGAAGCGGAAGAAAAATTTTTGAAACATTGTAGAGTGTATATTGTAGAGTTTATAATCGTTTTCATCACGTGATCATCACTTAATCGGTAATATCAATCGTCGAATGTAAATTTCTACCGTTCGAAGCTGCCTAGATCCTTACGTAAACAAGTTTTATGGATTATACGACCATCGCATAACAGGTTTACCTTTTATTTGCGTATACCTTTTATAGATATATCGATTAGTTTGATCGATTATCTCGTCTCTTGTATTGTAAATGAAATAGACGTTGAAAATTATACGAGTAATAAAATAGTCGAGCACGTTAACGGACAGTAATTTTGTTAAAATTTATTACAACTATTCAATCGTAATATGTTTATCAATATGTTTAACGATAACTTCTAAGTATAGTTTAAAAAAAGATATTTATTTACACAACGTAATTTTTTTATCTTTTATTTACGCGCGATAAAAAAAACGAATTTATAGATGTCAGTAAAAAATACGATCGATAGCAACTGCGCCATCTAACGTCCTCAGCTAAAACTTCATCGTGCGTTGAAAAACTTGAGCGCATAAATCATTTTTACCTTCCTCTTTTTTTTTATCCACGATCTTTATCCACGTTAGAAAAAAAAAAGTAACGAGAAAATAAATCAAAAATTACAACGATATAAGAAATTTCGATCATTTTCGATCTATATCTTTATAAATAGATGAAATATTATTTTTTATCACGTACAAAAAAATCGCTTAAATTATCTGTCAATCAAAACATGAAATATTCTCTTTCAAATTTTCAATTCTCGTTTCCTAATAAATAAATAAATAAATAAATAAATAATCGTGCATGATAAATAATCGGTCTATTTCTCATCCACGAGAGATTATCGATTCATCGAAATGGAATGCGTAAAACTTGCAAAAGTTTTAAAACTTCTGCGAACGCTTAATTTTGAGGAAAAGTTGCAGCTTTAAAAAAGAAAGGGGGACGTGAAAAACACGGCGGGATTCCGGGTCACGATGCGACGAGACGTGGCGCGTTTCTTTTTAAACTCTCTCTTTCTCTCTCCTCTCCCCTTTCGTCAGTGGCGACGAAGTTTCTCGTGCTTCCTAAATAACCGCGCGACACGGCAGGGGGTGGCAGAGGGCCGTCGAGGGTAAAAAAAAAAAAAAAAAAAAAA